GTTGTTAGACATTTAGAAAAAGTATCTATCCAATACGTATAAGGTAAAGATTGTCTATAAATATTTTTCTTATTTCAAAATAATCGAAAAATTTCAAGTGCGCATTTCAAATTCTCTTCAAATTATCGATCAGTCCATTTTTTCCAACGAATTAATATCGTAAAAGAGAACCAAAAAAAAATGATATTAGCGTATGTAAAAGAATAGATATTACTTTTGCATCAAAGTATAAAATCCGTTTAGTTGATCGGTACAGAAATGGCCTACGGCGTTATTCCAATAGCGTTTGACGACCCTATAGTAACATCATTGAAAAATTTGCCATCCTAAATGAAAACGGTTCGCATCGTGGAAGCCCGACAGGAATCAAACGGAACTCGTGCCTTTAATCGCTTAGAAAAGAGAGGTGGGGTCTTTGCAACTGACGGTTACGTATACATACATATATATGTATATATATATATATATATATATATATATATATATAGACACGGCAATGGGGGTTACAAAATAATGAAGGGTAGACCCACCGTTGGTAGTTATGGTAACCATCGATCTATAAAATTTCATCTGGCTGGCACCACGCTGACTCGAATAGGTTACCCATTGGCCTTGAGCCATTGAAGATGTCTCGATTCTTTGTTATGTCCTCTTTTCTTACGGTTTACATAATCACCCCTTTTTAAAAAAACGTCCGATGAACTCCCATCTCATGTCATTGTTTATTTACAAATAATATTTTCCTTTAGCCCTTTCCGATCTTCATTTATTATCTTCTGAAAATTCTTAAGTGCCCTTTTTTTTCTCATCGATCATAAATCTATAATTAGTATCAATGTAATATGATAAAAAGTGACGAAATTTCGTCGAAAATTCTAATATGGAATTGACCGACTTTGAAAATCTCGAAAAATAAAAGAAAAAAATTGACGAGGTAATACGTATAGAACAATGAACAATGGTTGATTTTATGGGAAACGACATGGCTCAACGTAAAAATCCATTATCCGTGGATTGAATTTCTATGTCAAGTAAAGACTCGAAACGTAGTCCGTATGTCTTATGGATGCGTGAGATGGCAGACGATGCGAACCAGCGGAACCTTGACGCCAGCGTGAGAGAGAGAGAGAAAAAGAGAGAGAAAGAGAGAGATAGAGAGAGCCTAGACTGGTAAGGAATTATCTTGATTCTCAAACGTAATTGGTATGGCGCACGTTTCCTCGATTAAATGTCCTTTCGTCTTTGGCACGTTGAAAGGCACGCGAACGACATGCTCGTAGTATTCTCATTAGTATTGCTATTGTGCAATACTAATATGAAATAACGAGAAAACACGTTGCATCTTCTCTCTCTCTCTCTCTCTCTCTCTCTCTCACTCTTCTTATTTCCGCTAAAGATTTTATTTATAATTACGTCTTTAGATAGATTAAAATGATTATATAGATATAGCAGATAATTGACATCTCCGCATAATACAAATTAATTTTTTTTTTCTTCTTTTTTTTCCCTATTCTTTTTCTTTTTCTTTTTTTTCTTCTTTTTCTTTTTTCTCTTTTTTTTTTTTTTTTTTTTTTTATACAATAGCTACCTACTAATCGATGAAACATTCAGATACGCGAACTTGTCATACAACTATCTTCACATTTAATTATTTTATTTTGTTTACTAGCACAAGATAATGAAATCTTGCGTTGCATTAGATTACATTAAAATTTCTTCTACGAGATAAAGTGTGTCATGATGAAGCTTCGTGAAATCTCGAGAAATGTTGAAATAAATCTCATCGACGAAATAACACCTGAGACAATATGAGAAATATGAAAATGAAGATCGAAATTAACGAATCAAATATATGACTTTAATTATAATCATTTCTTATCCAAGAGAACAATAAATCTCTCTCTCTCTCTCTCTCTCTCTCTCTCTCTTTCCCTCTCTTTTCCTCTCTCTCTCCTTCTCTTTTTTATTAGAACAGAAAAAAAGAAAAGAAAATATATATATATATATATTACGTTTGCCTTAGCGATGAATAATGCATACTTTATTTTACGTAACATCACAATGCCATAATAGTTAAAGGGTGTGCAGGCGCGTGTTCATCGTATACGTCGCATTAAACAGACGTTAGACCGATACGAAAAGTACGTGGCTCCAAACGACTCAATTTAACAATTAAGCCACTACGTGGTTTCCTATGGTAAGTACTTAATCTATCGACTTAATACTCCTGTTGGATCATTGATGGTGTTGCTTGTACGTATTTATAGTTGTTTTTTTCAATAATAAGTATTTATTATCATTATTCGAAACAATATAATAGTCGACGTAATCTAATCGAAAAGGAATATTTTCTGATTGATTTTTAATCATTTTTTTTTTCATTTATATCGTTACATATGCATTTTAACGAACTTTCAAAAATAAAGTAAAAAGAAATAATACGATTCTTTTTATAATAATTTTAATGTTTAAAAACAAAATTACTGAATGAAATTAATTCAACTTTTCTCTCTCTCTCTCTCTCCCTTTCTCTCTTTTTGTTTCTTTTCTGAATGTAACATGTAAATAGACAATCCATTGCAACGAAGCGTGTCCGCTCTGTGCATCTAAATGTTCCAGCTAAAATACATGCTGTTTCCGTCCCACTCGATGCGGACAATGCACCGCACCGCACCGCACCGCGCCATGACGGGACATGCGTCCCGTTGCGTAACGCAATCCAAACGATATGTTGTGAAATAAGACCACCGTGGATGCCGCCTACACTCGCTTATGCGATCAATATAATTACAAGATAATTGTTTATTTTGCGAAAAGTTATTCCTGCATAATAAATAATTGTCAAGGTAATAATTTATTGTGGAAAACTTTTTTTTTTATTTTAACCAACAACTTCAATCGATTATATATGCATTGCATTCTCGTCGTTACTGATTCAATGCTATATGAATATTAATGAACAGTTTTTCCCCTTGGTATCAGTCAGCGATGGTACCATCTTAGATGAACATATATCACAAACACATTTCTTTCTAATTAATCACTTATAAAGATACTTATAGCAGTATTCGCTTTAAAGTTTAAGTTTAATACGTTTAGAGATTTCATTATAGAATATAATATATGGATGAAACTTTTTCATTTCTCATGTAATTTTTTATTTGTTTATGAATTTTCTAAATTGGTCCTTCTTTTTTTTGGTGTAATCGTTTAGTTTGTGTAATCCTTTATAGACGCTCGATAAAAAGGGAAACTGTTGTTATATTTTCAAATTATCTATTGAAACAATCGGCAACGTTTCACTTTTATTTTATTGACTGTAGATAAGAAAGTTTTCTTCTTTTTTTTGTTTTCTTTGATTCTTATCGTAAACCGAATACGCCATCTATACTTTATGATTATTCATTGAAATAACCATTTTGTCCCGTTGCACATTCGTTCGAAATCGTAGTGCGAAAAAGAAAAGAGGAGTAAACAGTAACCCACAGGAAATAATTTATTACGCGCCAAATCGATTATAAGATTTTTTAAACATTGCAAGTAATTATATTTACAAATAAACGTCGATCATCAACTTCGTTATTAAAAAGTGAACAAAATGTTGCGCGTTGGTATCAGAGCTGTTCGTAAGAGTTTCAACGTAAGGAATTTTGCGAATGCACCAGCACAAGAACGTGCACTATCGGCGACTTTCAAGATTCAAGATCCTAAAGATTTTGATGAACGCGTGAAAAATTCTAAAGTGCCTGTGATCGTCGATTTTTTCGCGACGTGAGTAATAATAAATAAATAATGATATTACCTAAGTTACAAATCTGGTTTTTTTTTCTTTTCTTTTCTTTTTTTTTTTTTTTTTTTTTTTATTTCTTTGTAAGATAAAAACTAATTGGACTATGAAAAACATTCGTCTTTCTGTAGGTGGTGTAATCCATGCCGCATGTTGACTCCTCGTTTAGAATCAGTGATCGCAGAGAAACAGGGAAAAGTACTTTTGGCTAAGGTTGACATTGATGAAAACAGTGATCTTGCACTTGATTATGAAGTTAGTAATTCATTTCCTTATTTTTATATATTTCTACAAACAATTAGTATTTATCATTGTTTAATTTCTTATCAGGCATTTAATACTTGATTTAGGTTGGCAGCGTTCCTGTCTTAATTGCAATGAAGGATGGAAAAGTCTTGGAAAGAGTTGTTGGTTTACAGGATACAGATAAACTTAGACAATTCGTTAACAAATATGCAGAATAGTACAATATAGTGTTACATATAGTATGATCCTGTTGTACTTTTTGTAGCTGTGGCACATGTTATATATTTAAAAAAAAAAAAATAGTACATACATACTTTTCAACTTGGTCTGTTTTTTTTCTGTTCTTTTTTTTTCTTTTTTAATGCAAAGAAATTGCAGTAAAAATTGTAATTCGTTTTAATATGTATCATTTATCTTAAATATATTTTTGTAATATTATCTTCAATATGTGGCAATATATTTATTCAATATTATTATGTATTATAAAAAAAATAAAATAATTAAAAGGCAGAATAAATTTTCATAATTTAGAATATTAATAATATCTAAACAATTTTTAATGATTTTTCTACACTCTGTCATTATATCTTTTTATTTATCATTTATATCCAAGTAGAAATGTATAAGTGTTAATTTAAAAAAAAAAAAAAAAAATAATATGTTGCTACAAATAATAGATGGAATGTGTAATATATCTTTTAATCAAACTTTTATAGTTTGGAGTTGTATAAAAAAAATTATATTATGTATTTTACTTTACAATAATTATATGTAAAAGAATTAAAAAGTTTTGAATTATTAAATAAAAAGCTTTCTCTTTTAATATAAAAATTGATTTTATCATTAGACCATTTTGTTTTATCTTCTTCGTTCAAATTTAATTTAAACTCATCTGAAATAATGTAGAATGGAATAAATTTGAAATTTATTTATGATGTAACATACAATTTTATATTTTTATATACGTTCAAGGAGATAGATATAACAGGAACATTTACAGCGATATAAGTTTTAGTATATAAACATTTATCGATAATAATTTATATAAATTAGAACACAAAATACTAATGTTTGATCTCATTAGTCAATTAAACCCGTATCTTACATAATTCATTTGTTGTTCACTTTAAAGTATTATATATTTATCATAATTATTATTCAACTGGTACAAATACAAGTAATTATTATCCTGACATTATGAATATCTTGAATGATTTCAATTCATTCAATCGTTTCTCAATAATTAAAATTCTTTTAAATTAATTCTTCATTTGATATAAGCTAGTATTTATTATGTTTCAGTTGGTAATGCTTGTAAAAGTAATCTAGCTCTCTTATATGATATAGATTCTACAGTCTCATCTCTCTTTTCTACATTTTCTTCTGCAATCCGTACAACATCCATACCTTTCTTCAAAAGTTGTTCTCTAGCCATACCTTTACAACCTTCAAAGTACTCTAATACTATTGGAAATACTTCATCGGGGATTAGAGTATCATCAAGTAAATTGTCCATTAACCATATTTGTCTTATTTTTTCAAATTTCCATTCACTTCTTGAATATTTCCACTAGAAGCAAAAATCACGAAATAAAAAAACAATCTGTTAATACAATCCATTACTTCATACCGCTCCAATTTATACCTTTCTGACATAAGTCAATGCTTTTTGAGTTGCTTCTATTTTAGTAGCTTCCCGCTTTTCTGCTTCTCTTTGTTCAGCCTTTTCTCTTTTTATTCTTCGTTTTGAAGGTGTTTCCGTTTCTTTTGCTTCTTTTTCTTCAGGAACTTTAGTATTTAAGTCTCCTGTACTTCCATTATTACTTTCAACAAGTGCAGTACTAATAGGATAAATTATGTTAGACAATCTTCCAATAAATAATATTATTATGTATTACAATTTAAATATAATTTCTTTCACCTTCCACGTTTTCGACGTTTTGATATTTTTTCCTCTATCAATAATTCAGTATCACTTGAATCTTTTTCCAATATATCAGTGCTACCAGTTTCTCCTATTTTGCTTTTTGTCACTTTATGATTAAGACCATTTTTAGAAATTTTACCATTAATTTTGCGTTTACTTGTCCTTTGTTGTGTTCTCTCCAAAAGAGTTTCATTCGATTCTCCTGTTTCATCATCGTCATTCTTTATAATATTTGTGTCAGAATTTACTTGAGATTTCTTATCTGTCAATAAACAGACATATTAATTGTCTATGTTACATGATGTTGGATATAAAAAACTGCTTACATATATAAAAAAAAAAAAAGATGCATAATTTAATACTTTTGAAACATTAACAATATATCCAATATCTCTATCATCATAATTCGATAATTAATTAAAATACGAAATGAAAAAATAAACAAATTTTTTCATTAAATTCATTACAATGTGAAAACGATGTGTAAAAAAATTCGAATACATCTTATATCATCTTTATTTTCTCTCTTTCTCTTTTTTTTTCAATTAAAATATAACAAAATAGTTATTTTCATTTCTTGTAATTTTTCTTTTAAATCAAACTTTAGCGCGTGTATATATACATATATGTATGTATATTTTTATATATATATATATACACATTTTCTACATTTTTTCTGCAATAATATTATTTGAAGACACGAGGCACTTAACTTTTTTTCCGAAACCTATTACATTACTATGTTAAAAAAAAAATATAATTAACAAATGTCACATTTACAAATTCATTAGTAATACTATTTTACCTTCCAATATATTCTTTCGGATTTTCGTACGCTTTCGCGATTTAGATTTTCTAACCCCAAAATCTGACGTATTCTCGAAGCCCATATTTGTACGATGATAAAACAATTAGATTGTATACGAATAAGCTGAGCACGGGTTAGAAAAGAAGATAATACGAATTGATAATTATTTTGAAATAGTAATTAAAGGATTATTTGCGATAAAATGTATTAGTGCCATGCGGAGATTCGAGATAGGTTGCCGCAGCATGTGCCAACGACTTTTTCCTTGGATGTATTCATGTGTTGTGCATTCAGAATATATATATAATATACATACCTTGCGTTAGCGCATGTGCGTTGTTCATGTTCTTTAATTCTCCACAATCCAATTAAGAAAAACTACGAACTTCTCAAACAATTATAATTTATATGTATATGACATTTATATATGTTCATATATTATTACGTAAATAATTCGCTAAGATATGTTAAGTATTAATATAACATTAAACATACATATATACATATAATTTATAACAGGACATTTACAAAGAACTTACGTCAGTATTATAAATTTTAATAAAATACTAAAATAATCAATTCATTGATCAAAGAAATCATAAAGTATTATCAAAATGTTAATACAATTTGTAAAAGTAAGCTTTCAGAATCAATCCAAAAAGATTTTTTCATCGAGGTAATTATATTGTATTTGTTTTTATTAACGACGTACATACGTAGAGGTTATGAAAGTATATATAATGAGTGATAAACATTGTTTTTTTTTATATTTGATTTCAAATAAAATGACATTGAATGAAGTATTAAAAGCATTATGAGATCAAATTGATTAATTTTATTAACGTATTTTTTGATAAATTCTTCGAACATTAACTAAAGATTATCATCTACTATTTCTTGTATATTTCGAGTTGTTATATGTTATCAAAGTTCTATTATTTAATGATTTGAAAATTATAGTTTCATTTAATTAATTTCTTTTTATGTAGTTATTTAAGTAGTTTTTTTTTGTGTTTATATATATATATATATATATATATATATATATATATGTATAATTTAAGAAAACTTTGGATTTCAGACAGACAAATCTTTACAACATACTCCTTTCAAGCAATAGGAAAGCATCATCGAAAGAAAAAATTGTAGATGATGAATGTTCAAACGAACCTATCAAATATTCTACATCAAAAGCATCAATTTGGCTTGCTTCCCAAACGCGTCAACCTCAATCTAAAAGACATCCATATGAATCTAATGTTATAACAATTAGTATAATCATTTTTATGATTTATTTCTTTATTTTAAGAGAAGAGAACGATATAGATCTATCTCTTAATAAACCGCTGTCAGAACTTGTACCTAATATTAACAAAACAACTGCACTATCTTCCAAGAGATTATAACTGTAAATATTGTATTGTAGTAATCAGTTTTTATATGTAATTGAATTCTTTGATTCATTCAATTATATATTATTTCTTTTTTTTCTTAAATTATCAATTAAATAAATAGTTAATTATTGAACTTATATAAATAGATTTATTCCAATAAACTCGGAAGGATTTTCTGTTTAACAAACATATAAAATAGTAAAAATTTCCTTATTACATATTGGACTTTATATTGATTTGGTTTTTCCAATAGGCAATTGTACTACAATGGATATATTAATCGTCCCCATATTATACTGTTCAATATTTCACTCCATTTAATAGATGGTTGATAAGCTATGGTGTCTATAATACAGCTTTTCCATGTTCGACCCCATGAAGATTTGACCATTGTCATCCATAAAGTTATTGTCATATTATTCTTTGACTGTTGTGAATGTAATTTAATATAAATGCTATCTAAAATTTCAAATATTAACAAAATTTTTGAAACCAAATGTATGTTATTATACAATATAAGTATAAATATTATTAATTACTTACTACGTGTGCAATAAGAATTAAATAACCATCTAATAAATGCATAGACAGGTGTAACTTGAAAATAAAATCTTAATCTAGCTAGAAGTCCACTAAAGCCAGTCAGCAAAAGTCTAAACTGAATTGTATAAATATCAAAATATTAGTAATCACTAGCGAAATAATAACACTAATAAAAATCATTTATTTACCGTAGTAAAAACTGTATAATATACCCATGTTGTCGGTGCAAGAAATAGGAGAATGGTAAATAATAAAGTACCCACAAATAGTTGATCTGGTTTGTATTGACAAGAATCCACTCTTTCTCTTAAAGGATTTTTTTTCTTCCCCAAAAACAGTCTAGATAGAGATATGAGAGCATTTAATTGAATATTAAAGAGCCTGCAATGTCCATTATAATAGTTATTTCCTTTATAAAATTCATAATTGTACGAGTGTATTGATAAATGAATACTTTCATACCTTGCTGCATAAACATAAATACAATATGTATGGAAACTAATAAGTGCTAAAAGATCAGAGGCTATTGATATTTGAAAAGTAATACCAAGCCTTCCAAATAATAATAATACTTCAAATGCAAAATCCATTACAGGTGTTACAAATATCAAAAATGTCCACCATAGGTGTATATGATATAGAAAAAATTTTCCAAGCATATTATTAAATGCATAATTTAATTTTAAGCCAGCTGGAGCACCCATTAGATATTGAATCAAATTTTTCAATGATTCCACTACTTTCTGCAAGTTTAATATAATATATATGTATATAATGTATCAAAAAGATAAAATAATATACGTGTGTAATGATAAACACTTGCCTCTGCATTCTTTAATAATACTTCAGAAGGTGATATATCATTAAAGTAACATAATGATAATTTTAAAATTATTACACCAAATAAAATATCTATAATTGTAGCAAAAATATAACTGCCCGTTTTTAAGGTAATCCTTTTCTTTTGTATTATATTTATCAGGACCCATTTAACATTTTCTAACCATTCATTTAAATGTAAACCCAATGATGAATATTTTAATATTGGTAATAAATTATTTGTGATTTTAAGAAAAAAAAGAATTGGAATCAAACATAAATATGTATTATAATGAATAATAGTTTCCTTTAAAGAAACAAATTTAGATTTCATTTTTATACTATATTTAACTTCTTCCGTTTGCAATATTTTCATAAGCTCATAAAAATGATCATTGGATGTTGTTTTAGCAACCAACAATTCGGTCCCTTGTAATGCTAACAAATCATAGATTATTATGATAATAGAACAAGACGATAAACAAATTTTTCTGTTATTACTAATAATATTTTCTACGCAGTAATTATAATCAACATTAGATGTTGAGTTTACTGTGGTAAGAGAAATATCTATCCAGTCTATGTACTTTCTATCTACATTTTCAATAATACGATTGGTATTATAATAATAACCAATAAGGTTAACAGACTTGTTTATTTCATTTATATCTTTTTCACATATATCAACAATGTAATATTTTTTCATATCTCTATGTTTATCGTATATAATTTTACCAAATACATAGCCAGATTTTTCGGCGTGGAAAGTTTGTGGAATAAAAACTAACAACTTCATAGTGCTTTAAATATTAACATCCTATTGCATATAAAATAACGCGATATTTTTTTTTATGATATTTAAATAGTGTTAATACTTATTCTCATCAGTCTCAATTAGCTACAATGTAACAAAATAACCGTAATATTAATATATTATATATATATACATATTTATATAAAAACTTGAAATTAATTCAACAAAATAATAAATAAATAAATTGAACTGAATTATTAACGATAGATATTTTATTTTTAATTAAATCAAACTAGATAATTGTTGATTCAATCTACAATTCAATATTCGTTATTAATGGTTACTTGAATACATTATTTTAGCTCGTTTGTAAAAAAAGTTTGGAACTTTATTGTCTGCAACGATAAAAAAATTGTTTTTGTGAATATTCCTCACGAATTTGAAGCAATACGAAGAGATAAAAATCATCTCTATTAAGCGTACGTTGTTCCTACTGTTATCACGTATCGCGTAATTTAAAATTATTCTTCGCAAGTATGTAACACTGGTCATTTCGTCAAATGGTGGCGCTAGCATCGCGTGAAGCATTATTTAATAGATGTTCATTTTTTTCAATTAGTTTTGATTACTTTCCATTGGAATAAATATGGATAGTTTTTAGAAATGAATAATTATATATTCCAAATAATTTTTTTTTTAATCATATGTCCTTTAGAATGTTACATTATTAATAACATTTTTGGACAAATGTGGTAACCTCGTTGCGATTGTTACGCCTCTTTCGGCGCAGACACATAACTGACACGCTTTGGCGCCACCAAACACGCACGTGTAAACCAACCAAACAAAGTGAGTTTGACAAAGCGACGAAAATGAAAGAGACGACAGAAATGTCGGAAATAAAAAAGAAATCATTCATTCTTTCTTGGATTTTTCATGTGACCATAGCCGTAGTTGTTGACAGTGATAGTCTGATTAAACTACTGTGTACCTGACAAAATTAAATAAATATATCACAATTATTGCTTGATGTGTAAAGTTTCTTTCTACATAATGGATTGTCCACGAAAAGCTCATACAAATAAATGATTACTGCCATCTATCGGTATGTTTTATTTCATCATAAAACAATTTATAATGCAATGTCTACCTTTCTTATCTATCTCATTACTACTAGCTCTGGGAAATTCAAATTTTTTAACATATTCGTTATTTTTATGAGAAGGTATTTTGACTCTTTATCAAAATGGAATGTGAATTAAGTATAGAGAACCTGATTGAAAGCCAATGTGAAATACTTGATCGACTTCAAATGGAAACAACATTCATAAAGAGTAATGCAAATTTATTGTAATAATTATAAAGTATAGTTGATCATATTTATAAAAAATAGTTTTTTTTTTTATAATTATATTTACAGGTAGAAACAATTTAAAGGAGATCCTAGTGTTTGTTCGAGATTCTATTCTTGATATTTCAAGTGGAATTTGTATTTTAAGAAAGTATTTAGATCAATTGAAGGAAAACAATGATTCTTCAAAGGTAAGTGAGATAGAATATATTTTTAAAAATTATATAGATATATTAGATAAATTGTGTTATTTATACATTTCTATATATAGAAGATGATATTGTTATATCAAAATTTGAATGAGAAAATAATAGACATGTATAAAAATGTCCCTGAAGAATTGTTAACGGCATATGCAAATAATAACAAGAGTGAGTCAATGCAATCTATTAATGACGCATGTTCTGTCACTATTTCTTCTCATGCGTCAACTGCTAACAAAAACAAGCAAGAAAATGTAGACTTTAATGATATGGGAGATGTTAAAAAGTCTGCTATTAAAGATTGTAAAAAGGCACTTTTTAATGAACCAGAATATCCAAAAATATCTTTGATTAAAGAGGAAGAGTTCGATCAATTACCGAAGTATATGATTGGAAGGCAATCCTTGCAAATGATTAATGGTTTAATTAATTCCATCAATTTAGTATTAAAAGCTAAATATACCTTGTTATCTGCTGGGAAAATAGTTGCTAGAAAAAAAGGCGAACTTGATCTATATTTATATTATAGAAAACAAGATATTATTTGCGAAGGCAATGGTAATTATTTTTTCGATTAACAAATAAATCCTGGAGATGTATTTTTTTTTTTTTTTAACATAATTATATTTTAATTTCAGAATGTAAATACTTCTTCACTGCGGAAGATTATGAAAGATACATAAAAGTTAAATTAGATAGATTAGCATTGAAGTTGATGATGGCATTGCGCCATTGTAAACGAATACGTGAATACAGATTGAAAAAAGAATTGTATTATATTGTCTTGAATTAATTCGTTTACATTTTCATTGTTATATCATCTGTTGTCATTCTTATCACATTTAAGTAAAATAATATGTCTGTAATTATGATCAAATGAATAGAATTATAATCGGAATGGAATGAAAGAAAAAAAAATGTCAAATTTTATATCAAAGCCGATGAAAAATTCTTTTTAATATCATGTAGACAATATCATGCGTTTCGCTAAGAATCGATACACGTTTCAAAGGGATGAGTAAGAAAGAGAGAGAAAGAGAGATTAAGCGCGTGCGCTACGGATGCAGTTTTGCTCGGCGTCGTCGACTACAACAGTTCTCTATCACTTTTTCCCCTCGATAATTCTTTGGATTTATCGGGAAATATTGCGTTAATTCGAAGATACGAAGATCTTGGTGAAAGAAAACGATAAAAATGTCGAGTAGCAAGTGTGTGAAACAACCGCGTAAAGCGTATGCGAAGGAGCAGCACGAAATGAGCCATTCGGAGAAGTTAAGACTAATCGATGACGAGTTAAATTCATTTTACAAGTAATTAATTTTACTAATACATTTCTTGTTACTTATTCTCATGGATTAGAACGATGATATATATATTAGAATAAAAATGATGGTTTAAAAATCTAAAGAGAAAATCTGTGTATCTTTCATTCTCCATTATCTATGTTTACAGATATTGTCAGCAAGCTGGTTTTACCGAGGAAGAAATGGATATAATTTGTCAACCATTGGTAGCGGCAATGCGCCGTTCATGGTTGCAACTCGTTTTTCGTGGTACTTTGATACTCGTTGTGCTTGGTACATTGGCTTGTCTGGCGGCCCAACTTGATTTCGTTGGGACTCATTTTACTGCTCTTAGCCGTTTATTATTGATCAAAGTATTACCAATATGGAACTGGCAACCTCTTTATTACGAAAATTGCATGATTAATAATCCCTTTTACAATGATTATACGATTACGGAGGAAGATTGCGTGGTAGGTAAAATTTTAGCAGCTGTAGTTTGTACGACTATTGTAAAAAAAAAAAAAAAAAAAAAAGGAGCAAAAGAAGGGGAAAAAAAATTAAGAAAATATCTACTCTCATATATTCTTACATATATTTATGAATTTGAAGACTTGCGAAGCACTTGAAACGATTGATCGTTTATCGGACGTAAGATATCGCAGCCTCGTTGATAATTATCTTAGTCGTGATGCACCAGCTATCATCACCGATGCAATGGACACATGGGCGGTTATGAATACGGATTACTTTTGGTTCGATAATATAACTCACGTGAGTAGAACAAAGCGAAACAAAACAAAACAAAAAAAGAATTCATCGAACGTTCCAATTATAAAGTCATTTAAATAGTATAATCAATTTTTCAATCATTCAATTAGCTTTACTTGGAGAACGAACGTTTGATGGAAACGGTCCCATGTGCTCTCACGTCTAATTTACGAACCGGTTCGTCCGATTTAGCGGCTTTTTTACGTCGAGTACACTCGCCCGAAGTTGCCAAATGGTTTGTTCATTGGCAAAATTGTGACATAAATGCCGTCAAAGTATTAAGAAAATATTATCAGAGACCTTACTTCCTATCGAGCACGGTCTCCCCGGCACACTTCAATTGGGTTCTCATGTCCTCAGATTATAACAGTCCTAGTTATAAAAAAGTCGAATTAGATTCTGGCTTGATAGCTTTGGCACAGCTTCGTGGTGCCACCCAATTGCGATTAACACCTATCAATCCGTGCAATAGTTCTTGTCCTGAACTTATTGCTGATTTACATCAAGGAGAGATGCGTGAGTATCTCGAATAAAAATCTTGTTAAATGTTTTTTTTTTCTTTTCTTTCTTTTTTAATCTTCTATGTTTTCCCTACGATTAAATCGCTAAGATCACGTGTTTGTACATTAAAGTTTAATCCTTTATTTTGTCTAATCTATGTGTAGTTGTATTTACCAACCTGATGTGGACTTTGGAATATGCACCAATGCGTGGATTGGATAACATCGCTATCCTTACGGAAACCGTTTGGGAAGAAGACAGTTAAATCGTAAAATCGTTACTTTTCAATTAATATAACGATCGTGGTTTCTTGATCTTGAAACTTTTTCAAGAGCTTTCCCATCTTTAATACATGTATCGATATAAACGTATTAAATAGGACGTATTCCATCGATCGTGTATACGTTTGTTTCATTGATATGTATATTTCAATGAAGAAAAAAAAAAAAAAAAAATATAATAAAAAATATCGCCAACTTTGACAATTCGTATACATACTGTAACGTCGAGAGAAATACTAAAAAAAAAAAAACAAATCCTTTTCTTCTCTACTACCCCGTTTAAAAAGGAGACGCATCATAAATGTAGTATCAAAAAAAAAAAAGAAAGAAATAAAAAAAATGGAAGAAAAAAGATAAAAGAGAAGAAAGTTGTGGAGGAATAGCACAAGTAACAACAAACAAGATTCGTCTTTTATTAATTAATTGTTTATAATAACATTATGTGTTTTTGTTGAATTTTCTCGCTTATGTCAGTTTTTTTTTCCCTTTTTCTTCGTTATTTTCACGTGGACACTAACAAGAGAGAAAGGAAAGAAAAGGAAAGAAAAGAAAAGAAAAGGGAGAAAAAAAAAGAAATAAGAAAAAGAAGGAAGAAGACCAAAGAATTAATGATTATGCATTGATTCTTTATAGAAAAAAGAAAGCGCAAGATTATTCAAAGAAACTTATCATATAACTCTGACGACTTGGCATGCTTAATCTCGACGCGATATTCGTTATATTAGAAGTCATCGTCATCGTAGTATATAATTATCGGTTTGCACTATACCCGCGCTCATACAACAACAACAACATCTTTTTCTTTCTTTGTTTTTTTTTTGTTTTTTTTTTGTTCGATAAGAAAGAAGGAGGACAATGGGTACTCGAAAGATGCGAATCAAACACGTTTTCCTTCCCTCTCTCAGCCTACATCGAATTTGTCTTTCCAATTGTTTCTGTCTCTCTTTCTCTCTCTCTCTTTTTCTTTCTTTTTCTCACACACATACACATACACTTTCTCTCTCTCTCTCTCTCTCTTCATAACTTTCTTCGTCACGCACATGTGTCTTCTTTCCTTCATTGGAATTTTCTTGCGGCGATAAAAACGTTCCACGTTTTTATTAATAAGGTAACGCAATTTAACGTTACAACTCTCGTGTCATACAAGTATGTATTTTAAGCGAGGACCATTACACGTACGCTAGCAACGCATAAATATATAAGGGATATCATCGAGTTTTAGTCTATAACGGCAATATTGGAAAGAGAGGAATGATTAGAATCACATAGGAAAAAAAGGGGGGTTGGAAATATTGCGTTATCGTTTGGTGTGATGATGAAGAAAGAGAGAAGAAAAAGAAAAAAAAATATATATATATATATAATATATAAAATATATATATAATATATATATATAATATATAAAAAAAAAAATATATATATATATATATATATATATACATATAAGAAAAAAAAGAAAATAGATATCTTGCTTATCTTTCAAATTTTTTTATCTCCCCTCCACAAATTCCTTTTTCGTTATTATTCCTTTTTATAGAGAGAGAGAGAGAGAGAGAGGGAAAAAGGTTCGACCCTTTAAGTTAATCCTCTTATAATAATCAATTCATGGATGTATAACTTTGAATTCATACAAATGAAAAATTTTACTTTAGTCTCGAAAAATAATATTAACAAAAATTAAATTGTAAAGAGTTAAAATGACGTTACATCGGAAACTTTTGCAATGGTATTCCAGATCGAAGAAGAAGAAGAGAGAAGTGGACAGAATATGGATAACAGGCAGGATATGACGATCTTTTGATGGATCGTTACAAATTAAATATTTAGTAGGACGTTATAACATCATTGAAATTTATAGAGAGCAAGAAGTTGCACACGATCAACGATAATCGCGGCGATGTTAAAAAGTTCCTGTGACAATGAGCCCCATCTCGAATTATTCTATATCCATCTCTAACGATGATATCAATAATATGTCTATTCAACACGCGTGAATTTTCGGAGATAACGATCAACTAGGAGAACGCACTACAGTAGCACATTTTTTACGTTCAGTCTGCGCGTTTAGTCGCTTCATTCATGTATAATATATTTGATTGCATCGTAAGTTCGCTCAAATTTAGTCTTTTCTTTTTTTTTTGTTCTGTCCAAGCTAACGCTAAACATTCTTCATTTCTTTTTTCTTTTTTTTTTTATAAAAAATTTTTTTTTTGCTAAAAAAGAAAAAAGAAGAAAAAAGAAAAAGATCTGAGATCACAATCAACTATCTTGTCGTACAATCTGTATAATTCTTTGGGATTATCTTATTAATCAATCTTTTTTACGAATAATACGACGCATATATATTGAAATATTTCAATCAAAATCAATTAATCTTTATTAAACATTTTCTATGTACGAACGAACGTCTCAAAGAATGAACATTATTTTTTTTTTTCTTTTTGCAATTTTATTAAATAATCACAAGCTAAATCTTTTATTAGACAAATTCTATTCTATTAATTAATACGAAATTGATCGATCAAAATTAACTATCATTCTACACAAATCATATTTAACAATTTGATCTACTTATAGAAAGCAACAATTATATGCAATATCTTAAGAAAATGTTTATATATATATATATATATATGTATATGTATGTATATATATATACAAAAATTGTCAAAATGCGAACGAACTTATTATCCAATCCAATATGTGTATACATATATGTATATATAATAACGCTAACAATAAAATCGATGATAGAACGATCCGTTTTGCTTTCTCCATCTTGGAATATTGCATTCGCTCCAGAGTTTATTGTTTTTCTGTCATTACTATCATTATCACTAGGAAATTTGGTCTGATCACGAAGACAAAAGACGTAGATCCTTTTCGCGCGCTATCGTACGTATCGTACTATGAGTAATGAGCATTTTAATCCTAAGTACGTCGCCGTTTCTTAAACTAACTTCTAACATCTAACAATATTGAATAGAGATATCGTTCGATCGGTTCTGATTTTTGTACCGTGATATATGTATCATCTTCTTCTTTTTTTTTATTTTTTTTGTTGTTGTATCCAATTGATAACAATAATAAGAATAATAAAACATCTACATATTTTGCAATCACCTTCTTTTTTTAATAAATTTAAAAATATGATCGAGAAATGAATAACAAAATACAAAGATTTGTAACAACTTTGAACAATTATAAAATAAAAAAAAAAAAAAAAATGCAGATAATTTTCATACAGGTAAATGTTATAAATTGGATACAGAGATTAGAAGAAATATGGTGTCGATCGATAGCAAATTCATTGTTCTTTTTTTCTCTCTCTCTCTCTTTCTCTCTTTCTCTTTCTCTCATCAAATTCTACCAAAAGACGTTGACGCTCCTCGAGCATTTTCTCGAGTATGAACTTCTTTTTTTATTTCTTTAACTATTCCAATGATCTAAAGGTTTCTAATCGCGACGTGTTACTGTGTCATTTGAAAAGTAGCACTATTTTTTTGTTACCGATATTCAAAATCAAATGTACAAACAGTAAAACTTTTTATGTGGAAATGTTCTGGCGCATTATTATAATCACGGTTCGTTAAGTACCAACGGCTTTGAAACTTCGTATCAGTCTTTTTTTTAACACTGCCTGAATCAAGATCATAAGTTATGTACGCTCTCACTATTATGTCTCTGATAAATCTTTTTAATTGGGCCAATGAAGAGCTCGTACGAAGATCTTTATACGACACATACATATTTCTCTACATATATGTATGTATGTATGTTCATGTATGTATGTATGTATGCATATAGTATGTACTATGTATGTACTACGTATTTATGTATGTATTAATAAATAAATAAATTAACAGATAAAAACAAAAGAATTAAGAGAGAGTAATAATAATAAGAACGATAATGAAAGACTAGCCTGTATCCTGTAATATACATAAATCGATCTTATATCTTAATTTTTAATTTTCAATATATACCTTTCGATAATAATAATAATAATAATAATAATAATAATAATAATAATAATAATAACAATAATAATAATAATAACAATAATAATAATAATAATAACAATAATAATAATAATAATAATAACAATAATAATAATAATAATAATAATAATAATAATAATAATAATAATAATAATAATAATAATAATAATAATAATAATAATAATGATAATATACGAAAGATCGATCATTTCGATGTTTATTGCGTAAAGATATCATCAACGCTCGGTCAAGAAAATAATTAATTAATTAATTTAGATAGGCTTTCAAAATGTTCGTTTATCTTCGTTCATTATCTACGATTCACGATTTTATAATAGTGAAGGACCGAGCAAAATATATTTTTTAATCGGAAAGATCGATATTCGTGATGATCGAGGGAGATATTATCGATCGTCGATTTGACTCTTGCCCTGCTTTGAGTAAAGAAGAAAATGTGTGTTTGTTGTGTGTGTGTGTATATATATATATATATATATATATATATATATATATATGCGTGTGCATAATTATTTGAAAACGAACGCGTTGAATCGAAGATAAGTTGATACGCGTAAAGCCTAATTATTAATCGAAACCTTTTTAAATTTGTTAACACTCACAAAATTTGCTTCGTTCCGATATGTTGCGCGTCGATCTTCTTGCCCTTTTTTCCTTTATCCTTTTTTTTATTAATCGTTAGATTAATAAATCTAACGATTTAAGGGGAAAAAATGATGAAGGACGAAGATAATATAAAAAAGAAAAGAGTTCCAAGTTAATGAAGGAAACAAGAAGAGGATGTATATTTATGTATGCATACATGTATATATGTATGTATGTACGTATGTCTGTATGTATGTATGTATGTATGTATGTATGTATACTTTGCACTCTCGCGTAAACGCATGGCATAACAACAAATATGAATGAGATCCTATTATTCTTAATCGATTGGGGATAATCGAATAAGAGAAAATGATTAAGTACATGAATAAAGACATTTTGTACAAAATACAATGCAAGTAGCGACGTAACAACATTTTGCAATAGTTAAATACAGTATGTATACGTATGTATATAAGAGAGTTGCGGTATTTAAAACCTTATACTCAAATATCTTTCTCTTACAATTTTTTTTTTGTTTTTCTTTTTCTTTACGCGAAATTAAACGCGAATAAACGTCATCGAACAAAATCATTTGGTCCGTTTCAAAAAATGTTTAATATTTAGAAGGAGCCTTTTTTTAAACGTCATATATATTCGTCGTTTTTTACAACATTGATATTTTCTCGAAGGATTTACATTTATTATATCGAATAATATCCTTCTGTAAGATTTAATGGATAATCGATTAATTGCAAATAATGGAAAATATATTGATAGTTGATCTCTCGTCGAGAACCATAAAAAAAGAACAAAAAAAAAATATTGAAAAGATAATTAACAAAAAAAAAAAAGCAATTTGATTGACAGCTCTTTTTTGTGGATCATGCTGCCGATATCTTGAATTCCTTCGCAGAACACATCTTTGGATTTTCGATTGGACGGTTTCGAAGTTGTATCGATGTTGTCGAAGAACGTCTTCAAATACTTTTCCATGAATATAAAGAAATAAATAATATAATTTTTTTAATTTTTATTATTATCATCGTTTTTCTTGTTTTTTTTTTCTTCTTATTTTTACGCACGCATATACGTAATGTGAAACATTTATCTCTCAAGTATTCCTGCGTCGATCTTATGACGAATCGAAAGAGGAAAAAAAAAAGAAGAAAGAAAAAAAGCAAAATTTAAACATATACACGTAAGCGCGATAGGAACAGGTCGTAAATAAAGATTTCTAATCATTTCTTTAATCATTAACATTTGGAAAGGAAGAAAGAAAGAAAGAAAGAAAAAAAAAAGAAAAAAGAAAGAAAGGACTCCTCCTCATTATTTTCCATTTCTTTTCTTCGAATCAGGTAACTTTTGTTCTAAACATTTGTTCGTACCTTTTTTAATCGGAAAAAGATATCGGAGTATAATATATTGTCTTAAATGCCACCGATCTGTATAATATGTATATTTTAATGTGTTGTATGCGTACCCTACTATTTCTCTGTTTTTTCTTTTTCTTTTCTTCCTCTTTTTTTTGGTTTTCTCTTTTTTTTTCTTTTTTTTCTTTTTGCTTCGTTCGCTTTTACGTATCTCCCTTTCATTTTATTTTTATCAATCGTATATTTTTCATTCGACAAACGTCATTCTTCTCTCAATGCACGTATAAATAAAGACGCGAAATCAGGCGACGTCGTTGAACAACACGATCGTCGATGAAATCGGTCATGACCTGATTATTATTTGCTCGTTTGCTTGCTCTAGCTCATCTGATTACCATATGTTGTATTTAAGATACATATCTCTCGATATTTATGTATGTATACATGTATGTATGTATGTATTTATGTATTTATGTATGTATGTATGTATATGCTCGAATGCGACAAGAGAAGATACGTTTCTTCCTTAAATCGATCGAAAAGCAGATGGTGAAGAAGGGGGAAAGGCGGAGAGGATGGAGAGGGAAGAGAGGGACGACGTTTTCTACATTTATAATATATGATAATGACGGAACAATCACGATGGACGCAATAATTGGCTCATCGTGTATGCGAATTTAATCGCGAGAGTTATGTCAACCTAAGACGTAAGATGTATTTTGTATGTATATACATAGAAAGAAGATAGAAGACGATAGAAGAAGACGGAAGAAGAAGAAGAAGAAGAAGAAAAGAAGTATATCAAAAGAAAAAAAACAAAAAAAAAATAAAAATAAAAGCTAAAGATTACAGTGTGGAAAAATAGAGAGGATCAGGATAGTTCTCATATCCTCGAAAGAGAGAACATAATTTCTACGAGGATCGAGTAAGTCATTCTATGAAGAAAATTTGTTTATCGAAGGAAACGAACTTGTCATATTTTATTTCGTTCGGCCTATCATCATTTAAATATTGGCTTTCGCGAAAGTGAGAAATATGTATACGCGCATTTATTTAAAAACGCGCAATCGTTTAGCGATCTCAAACAGAATAAACTAGCTGCAATATATATTATAATGATTTAAGGATATGGTCTCGTCTTTTGTTTTCAGGGTGAGATATTTGAAGGCACACCCCCACATTTCATTGTCCAGTCCTATGTAGATAAAATTTATCTCGTAATCTACGCATTACCTACATGATAAAAGTTTTTTATGTTGTTCCATTACGTTCGCACGTACATTAATATCCTGTCCGCGCTCGTCCAAGTATGTTATTTGTTTATTTATTTTTTTATTTTTTTATTTTTTATTTATTTTTTTTTTTCTTTTTTTTTCTTTTTTTTTTTTTCTTTTTTTTTTTTTTACTAACATTTAATCAACTTCTCTATAATTCTGCGAATAACCTGATTCTGTTAATGCATTTTTTCTTGTTTTTTTTTCTTTTTCTTTTTTTTTACGTTTTTCTTTTCTTTTTTCTTTTCTTTTCTTTTCTTACTTCCATCGTAACACGAGAAACGAATTAATTGCGTTTGTCCACGTCTCTCTCTCTCTCTCTCTCTTTCTCTCTCTCTCTCCCTCTTGTTCTTAATCCCTCTTTGTCTCGTGTATACGTGGACGAAATGAAAGACACGTTCGATTCTCAACGAGGACTTGCATTATGTCAATTATTACAAGGAAAAAGCCAACATAGTTATTAACAGAAAGAACTTCGAAATGAGGTGGATCGTCCACACCGTTTGGAAGGTACGGCAACAGGTACGAAAAACATGCAACACGCGTTGGTGATGTACTTTGGTCTGGACGCGATAACATTTTTATAATCGGCCAACATTTATGTATATTCGTTCGCGAATATATTATACAATATTGAAGGAAATATACTTTTTTTTCTTTTTTTTTTTGTTTTTTTTTTTTCATTTTTTTTTCTCTCTAGATTGAATCTGCATTGCTCACGTACATTGGAACATCAAGATAATACTCTCGTCGATTGTATTAGCACCTGCGAAGAAGTTCCAGCTTTCGCGTAGAAGAATTAGAAGAGGATATATTAAGATTTTCGGAGGAACCTTACTATATATGTGTCTTCCGCTTTTTTTTTTCTCTTTTTGCAAATTCCCATTTCTCGTATCTCCTCGAAACGTAAATAAGTATATTCGGAATAACATCGTTTAGTTTCTGTCATTGTTCATTATTTCTTTTTTTCTTCTTCTTTTTCTTTATCTTTTTATTATTTTCTTCTTAAGGAGATCTCGCATGGTTTTTGCGTCAACGTCGCGAGAACTCTTTTACTTTCTTACCGTTGTCATTTTTATTATTATTATTATTATTATTATTATTATTATTATTATTATTATTATTATTATTTTTCTTTTTTTTTCTTTATTATATCAGGGTGATCTTAAAAAAATTCTATCGAAGGTTTTCTTTCCCTCTATAATAACATCGGCAACAAAGCCGATCCTTCGTCTCTCCGTCTCTTTCTCTCTCTCTCTCTCTCTCTCTCTCTCTCTCTCTCTCTTTCTCTCTCTCTCTCTATCTATCTATCTATCTATCTATCTATCTTTCTCTCTCCAACGTGAAATGATAGACGAGCTAGAATATGCTTCCCATAAGATTTTACGATCGATTACCTGCCTGCGTTTATATGCCTCCAGCGAATTCTAGCAGCGATTACATAGCGATGGCAATGGCGGCAGCGGCGGTAATGGCACCAGCACCAGCACCAGCACCAACAGCAGCGGCAGCGATGGCAGGACACATTGAAGTTCATCGAACTTGACGAAGGAATCAGCGAGTCATCGTCGGCCTTCTCTCTCTCTCTCTCTCTCTCTCTCTCTCTCTCTCTCTTTATATATATATATATATATGCATATATATGTATATATATATATATATATATATATATATATCCCATAAATGTTTAATCATATTTTATCTTTTTATCCTGCACTCGTACATACGATCGGTCGTAATAAAGTGGCATTCGAACGTTCTGATCACGGAGCTCGTTATCGATACGTCGTCGGAATCCGCGTCAAATATCGTAAGCGGAGAGGAAGAAAAAGAAAAGATGTATTTTTAATATCGGCGGTGTAATAAAGGCAATAGCTCACTTGCCCAAGCCAAACTTCATAAAGATAAGCTCTTTGCCCTTCGAGAGAATATCTCCGCCTGCACTGGCACCTGCCATTTCTGTAAATTTTTGCATTAGATTCGGACCCGTACTCTGCTGCTGTTGTGGCTGTTGCTGTTGTTGTTGGCCTTGCGGAGTGTTCGGTGTGGTTTTGCTTTGAGCAGTTGGAAGGACAGTCGGTATACCCCTCATTGGTTTGCTGCTTGGCTGTGAACTCTGCATCGATGGTCCTTGGTTTTGTTGACCATATCCTTGATTTGGTTGTTGCACCTGCTGCTGCTGTTGCTGCTGCTGTTGTTGATGCTGTCCCTGTTGTTGTTGTTGCGGTTGTTGATACTGTTGTCCAGCTTGCTGTCCAAAGCCTTGTTGACCTTGTTGCGGGTATCCCTGATTTGATTGCTGATAATTCTGATTCTGTTGATTTGGCTGTTGTTGATACTGTTGATTCGGCTGTTGCTGACCTTGATAATCGAGCTGCTGTTGCGGTTGCATGTGTTGTCCCGGAGTTTGCATGCCGCCTGGCATGTTACTACCAACGGCTCGATTGCCCACGCCTCCCCTCCCCTTCCCCTGAAAATGAAACGTATTACGTGCTACTGTTCACCAAATTTAACCTTAATAATATTTTCAGTGAGCGTAAAATGTTTTTCCAGGCTCATTAGAGTTTAACATAAACATTTATTTTTCTTTCTTACGTTCCTTACAAGTTTTCATTAAGCGATCGTAATATTATTATTAAAAATCGCTTTAACAAAAATAAATGTATGTAAAACATAACAAAGAAATATCCATACGTTCATGTAAAACTATAATGAGAGTATATAAGAATACTTTTTATACTCAATGTACACGTGTATCTAAGTATAAAATACTTTGATACGTTTGTTTTCTCATTTCTTCTTTCCTCCTCTCTTTAAATACCAATACCTACGAAATTCCTTGTGGTACGCGCGTCTTCTTTTTCCTAGTTAAATATACATATGTATACATATGAAATTAAAAAACCTAAAAGGAACGGAGATTCAAGGAAGAAGGAGAATAAGTGCTATGTGAATGTGAATGCCATAATATGATGATGTTAATAATGTCGATTGCTCGTCGGATTTTGTTGCTGCCGACGATAGTGATGTATTCTGTTGAATACGTGTAAGCGTATGTTTATTATGTTTCGTCATGCTATTAGTGCACATACAATTAAGCATAATAGCGACGCACAGAAGCCGTGATCAAGAAAAAAAGAAAAAAAAAAAAGAAAAAGAAGAAGAAGAAGAAGAAGAAAAAAAATAGAAAATAAACGGACAAGCTACGCAAATAGAAACATATTTACCCTTAAAACGTTCAAAAATTAATGTGACGATAGATACCCTTTCGAAATTTGACATAATCGTTCGAATGATTATGTAAATGATGAATCGTGAGGTTTTTTGAGAAAAGAAATTCGATTATGGGATGTTATTTTGAATCAATAAGTGAACCTATCGATCTCGTTAAATTATCAAATTTTTTTTACGATAAAAGCATTTTGTAGTTTCCCATAATTTTAAAGCATAACTATCGAGAGTTCCTTGTCAATTCATGTCAAATTAAAACATAGACAAAATTCATATGACCTTTTCCTTCAACTTTATTCTTAAAAGACATGCAATATCACGCAAGCAATTATTTATATAATTTGTTGATATTTCATATAGTCTTGCCACTTTGAAATAACAAAAGTGTTAGATTGAATCAAAAAATTGTTAAGGGATTTCCGAAAAAAAAAAAATATATATATATATATATCTAATAATTTAATCTGCGATACAAATTTCGATTCAATATTATTGATTTAAAGGATAAAGTAAATATACACACACACGTGCGCGCAAATACACATTTAGAATTAAAATATGAAACGTAAAGATATATGAAAAAATTTTTTGATCTTTTTTTTTTTTTACAAGAAACTCCCCTTAGTCGTGCCCAAAAATGAATTATGCAAAATCAGAAAGTCGGATTATCGTACATAAAATTTTAATAAAGTGCATACACAAGATGGCCTAAGTAAATTGTGTTACACATTATTTTTATCGAAACTATTACAACTATCGACTTGTTCTTTCCTTTTCTTTTCTTTTTTTTTTCTCATCAACATTAAGTTGAAGTGTCAACGTTGTTTTTATTTGTTTCGATGATAATAAAGTGTAACGCTTTAAACTGGCCACCCTGTATATTATTCTTCGAGTAGAAACGGCATATTAAGCAAAGAAAGAGAGAGAGAGAGAGAGAGAGAGAGAACAAGAGAAAAAGAGACGGAATGTTTCGGAAGAGGAGGGCACTCACCTGTTGTTGAAGGTGGGGTGGAAGGGGCCCTTGTTGATGGGCACCCATGACACCACCGCCGGAAGGCAAGTGACTGGGCCCATGCTGATTAGACGTGGTTACAGTCGTATTGCTATGGTGATTCGCTTGTTGGTACGCTAGATGCGGTGGATTGTTTTGTTGTAGTTGATGTTGTTGGTTGTTCATTAGTGGTTGTTGTTGTTGTTGTTGTTGTTGTTGTTGTCTAGAGTCTAAGTGACAGACAGGGACAGACACAGGCACAATGCAGGCATCTAGCAACAGAGAAGAGAACAGAACCGTGTTGTCATTTATGGCTCATTTACTGTTTTTTTTTTGTTGTTGTTGGTCTTTTTTCTTTCTTCTTCTTCTTCTTCTTCTTCTTCTTCTTTTTTCTTTTTTCTTTTCTTTTTTTTTTAGGGTTATTACAATCGCGTTTAAAAAGATTCCGAACCTATGAACGAATTAATGATTCAACGATAAGATATTTTATCGAACGTCAAATCTTCTCCAATTGTTCTCATTAAATTAATGTTTGATTTTTAATAAGAAAATGAAATATTGGCCGTAATATTAAATTATAATTAAAATACGAAGAACATTTAGCGAGAAATAATATTTAAATGGAACTTATGCGAAACGAACTTTATGATATGAAGGACGTGCGATCGCAAATAACATCGCAAACGTGATAAATATATATATATATATATATATATATATATATATATATATATACATATATATATAGATTTGGAATATAGACGAATATAGAGAAAGGCAATTAAATGGCCAGCATGACAACACGACACGAACGACAATCATGTGACACGACGACCATCGACCAGTTCAGGCACACAAAGAGACAGACCATGTCGGTATATATGGAGTATAGACGCATTATTTTATAGTACATGATCGTGTTGTATAGAATCCGTTTACAAGTAAATAAAGTGTATACATAATACGTTCGTATAATAGATAGAGAGAATAGGACAGATATGTAGAGAGAAGTACGGAGCTAAAAAAAAACTCTCATAGAGCAAAAAGAAACAAAAATGAATATATATATATATATATATATATATATATATATATATATGTATGTATGTATATATATATATATAAATAAATATATATTTACATATATATGTGTCTGTGTATATAGTATACTTAAGTAGAGAGAACACTGAAAGCAGCTTAGTGTTTTATTGCGCATAAATATTGCCGTGTGTATGAGACAGCCTATGTTTCCAAGACAATTGATCGATATAAAAATTCAACGATCCAATGTACAAGTGAAATATCGTGTCAAATTTTTCTTATCACAAGCTTCTACACTCCGCGAATTTGCAATCTAATTTCTTAGCTATAAAGTGCAATTAATGTGCGATCAAACGGTGGAGCCGAAGTCTGAGATTTTCAAAAAAAAAAAAATGTTTTCGAAACAATATTGTTACCCGTTAATCTTTCATTTATTAGATATATCTAGATCGTCATAATAATAATAATAAATTATAATAAATAATAATAATAAATTAAAATAAATAATAATAATAATAATAATACAATTACAATCGCAGCTAGATTGCTTGACGAAATTCGTGTGACCCTTTAGCCTGTCGTCTTGCACATCTAGTTTCGTGTCTTGTGCTGCTTGCCGTTTTTCTAATCTGATTCATAATAAAATTACTTGAACTTAATCGAAAAGAAAAAAAAAGAAAATAAAAGAAAAGAAAAGAAAAGAAAAGAACAGAAAAGAAAGAAAAAAAAATATATATATATATTTAACTATTCTATCAAACCGATCTTTTATCGTAATCGTCGGATCGGCATTTAATGTTTAATCGATTATTCATAAAGAAAGCTTTATTCTGCTAATAGAGATAGCATATCGGTGATAAGATTTTTCGAATTGAGAGCAAAAGGAATCAAATTGTGTCGCGGCATATTGCGTTACAAGGAATATAATCAACGTAATAAAAAGTTAATAAAATCGTTTCATAGAATTTTACCTTTATTACGGCGGTGCCCAGTTGGTGGAGGTTCTCGTGGTGGGGGTGGTGGACCCCTCGCACCGGGTCCTTGACTTTGTCCCGGTGGCCTTCTACCTCCTTGAGACGGTTGACCCTGGTTAGATGCTTCTATGAGGAAATTACTTGGCACTAAACCGCGAACTCCGTTAAGTTCGCCCATATAAAATCCATCGGAGTCCATTTCACCATAAACACAAATTTCATTGCCAGCATGAAACGGTAACTCAACTTGCTGCAATAATTGAAGGAAAAGAAAGTTGTTAAATAAAATTGAAATTTCTCGATAATCTTTAGAGAGAAAGAGAGAGAGAGAGAGAGAGAGAGAGAGAGAGAGAGAGAAAGGAGAAAAAAAACGAAAATTCAAACTACCGCATCCGGATTAGGTGAAAGTTCCTGTGGATTATAATCGTACATCGCTATCATTTTCTTCATAGGCATACTCGCATAGATATCTCCCCATCTTTCATTAGATCCAGGTCCTCGTCTATTAGGTTGTCCTTGACCACCTTGATTTTGATCTTTTAATTCTTCAACCATATTATGCGGCACGTATCCTCGTCTACCACGACATTCGCCCCAATAAAAACCATCGGCATCCTTTTCACCGTATACCTATACAAAGAAAGGTGGCATTAAAAGTATGATCGATGAAGGATAATTAGAATTCATTATAAGACATTATTTTATCAAAAACCTTGATCGTGTCTCCCTCAGAGAATTGTAATTCTTCCTCGCAGGCATTGGGATTTGGTGACATAGTTGTTGGATCGTAATCGAATAATGCGATGAATCGGCGTATCCTCTTATTCATTTGTTGAACACCACTAGCTGGATGAACATTACCACCTTGAGCTTGATTTACTCTTGCGCCATATATCGGTCCTCTCATCCTTTGATTACCTAAACGATCAAATAATTGAATTTATTCACTCTCGATACAAACGATTTGAGGTATGATATACATATATATATATACCTGTTTGATCGTAATAAGCATCCTGAGGTCTACCAGGTCCTCCCATTCTAACCGATCTATATGCTCCAGGTGGTCCTTGAGGGCCTTGAGGACCATATCGATGATGATGCGGTGACATTCCACGACCTCTTCGAGATGGATCATCCTCTTCGCTATAATTGGCTTCGCTAGCAGAATCCTTTGTGATTTCTGGAACAGCTAAAAGAAATTAGCTAAAGAAAAATTAGCTAGGTGTGATAAAAAAAATTGAAAAGAAAAAAAAGGAAAGATTAAAACAGACGAAAAAGAGAGTAATGGAGAAAGTGCGAGAAATAGAAAGAGAGAGAGATAGAGAGAGAGAGAGAGAAAAAGAAAGGGACAAGTTATCGCAAGGAGGAAAGAGTTTCTCACCCATTTGAGAGATGCTCTGTCCTGGAAATATTTCCTTGTCGGAGAGGTTTTCATCTGTTTCAATGATTACTTGACCATGTACATCGACTCTGGTACCTTGTCTTCTCATGTGCGATGGAACAGGTGCAGTAGGATATCGCTGAGCAACTCCCATACGATGACGGTTCGGATCGTCCTGTTGTATGACGCTTGTTTGTTGTTGTTGTTGTTGTTGTTGTTGGCCTTGATCGAGCATGTGTGGGGCACCATGCTGCAAATGAGTACTCGTACCACCCCGAAGAACACTGCAAGGTATCGCTGTAGCACAACTGTCACCCGATTGACTCTCCCTACTCTTCGTACGGACTGTTATGTGTTTTGGATTCAGCCCCATGAGTTTGTGTATGTCGACCAAAGCGTGATCACCGGTGGGACTGTCAACGTCGGTGACTTTTTTTCCATCGGCATACACCGCGTAACCGGTGACGGCCGAACCGTTTAGGGCAACAGGCTGCCAGGTCACTAGCAAAGTGCCGTCCTGCGGTCCAGCCTCCACCTGTGATTGCGTCATACTGATATCAATTACTAACATACCATCGAGAAAATAATAAAACGTATCAAAGTGCGTTATTAACCTGGATATCGACCGGAGGATCTGGCAATCCTTTGGGCAATGTCTTAAAATGGACATGACAGGCAAAATTGTTTACCGCTTGTGCATTTTGATCCTCAAAATGTGTTGCTCTTAAATTTTTCGCTTTCACCGTCACCCTGTAAATCGTTGAGGGTGCCAAACCGGTGATCGTATGTCTATAAACTCCTGGCTTCACGGTCCTGACTTCGACGTTATTCACACAAACTACGTGTTGATGATTACTATTACTTGGCAACCATGATATCACAGCGCTTGTTGCTGTTACATTGGATGCTTTTACGGCAGTTGGACCCAAAGCAATATCTTTGCCGATTACCATTGTGCATGCTGCATCCCTTGATGTTCTTCTCGAATGCGTCACTGATCGTACGCTTATTCTATGGGGCTAAATTAACGAAAATTAAATTGCATTATGCTTGGATTATTCTTTGAAATACCATAAAATATATCCACATGCGACAAAATTATTTAATATTGTAAATGTTTCTTTTTTACGAACCCTAGTAGAATCAACTCCCTCGACCAATGCCCTCGTTCTTTCAGTAGCTTTGACGGTAACCTTCAGTACACCATCCACGTAGACATGATAGGATTCTAGTTGATGAGGATTTTCAGGAGCGGTCCACCCAATCAGGACACTCTTGTTGAGTTGTCGTTCAAGAGTGAGGTGCTGCGGCGCCGGAACTAGGTCCGAAAACAGGTAGACTTCTTCAGGAGGAAAAAGACAAGACGAGCCTAGCTGTAGCTAGAAACCTTTCACTATCTATCTCTCTAAACGAGCCTAAATCCAGCAAATACTTAACGTCTGTGCAATATTCAGATATGACAGCACCAACATAACAAATCACTTCGTGTGTGCCATATGTTAATTATTAATTTCGAGTATTCTTGTGTAAGCAAAGTATAGGTACTTTGTGCATTTTCAATCGTTTTGAAATATGCACTTTTCACGATGCATACAAAATAACGTACAGATATTAAAAAAAAAAAACTTTTTATATATCAAACACAGAAATATAGAAATCTGTCAAGCTTACATATATCGATCTATCTCAAACCGAAATCTATAAATCAAAAAAAAAAAAACTGAGCTTCACAGAAATTATTTAAATGTGCCGAGTAAGAAAAAATAAAAAATTAAAGAAAAAAAAATAAAACCCAATTGTGCTAGATTAATTATTTCATCTTTAAATAAATACATATTTACTTTTGAAATGTACACTTTCTATCATTATCAAATGCACCATCAAATATATATATATATATATGTATATATATATATATCGAAAGTAATGTGCTAATCGTGTTACACTCAAAGAAAATCTACTTTACATTGAAATGCGCAATGCTACCAGCTCTATCTCATAATAATATTATACAAGCAAAATATTCTATACAAAAATAATTCTATAGAAAATTATGTATATATATATATATATATATATCTATATATATATATATATATGTACAAATAAATATATATCATCATGTATGTATATATCGACATTTTATATGCAATTTTTTTATTGCAAAGCCATAACATTTACAAACCTGGTGGTTCCTGTTCGTCATCTTCCGCAATATTGTCTAATTCAGCATAAGCAGATAACTCAGCTTGTCGATTTCGATTTCCTTCTTCTAAAGCTGCTAATTCTAGATCGATGTCCTGCAGATAGCACTACAACGAAAATAATTTTTTTTTGTTTTACAATCTTTTGATCATTCGATTTTTTTCACTAATCATAATAGTCACTATTGATTACCGGTGGTAATATATATACATAAAAAAAATATATATATATTACCATCTATATATGAGTTCACACACGCACGCATACACGCACCCGTTCAATTGTACACACATACAGACACAGAGCCAGACACTTGAGTATATATACGTGAGTCTCACATTGCTCACTTGTGGAATATTCGTTGAAGCAGAATCATCGACGTCTCTAAGGCCGAGGACAGCTTGATGAAATTCCAACAGATCTTCACCAATTAACTTTTGTACAAAGTTAGCGGGTACGAGACCACGCCTTCCATCGAGAGTTTCAGCGTCAAGGAAACCATCATCGTCTGGTTGACTCCAAACAAGAAGATAATCCCCACCCTGTACGGGTAACTCAGCTTCTGGATTTTCATTAGGCGAATGCTGAAAGGGCTCATAAGTGAAGCGAGCTATATAAACGTAACATCTACCCTTGCCAGGTATATCCAACATGTCGACTTGACCTTCAGATACTATATTTTCATTGGTCAATCTATCTAAAGGATTAGTAAGTATACCAGTAGGGATTTTTGGCATTTGTCTTGGACCAAGAAAATGGTGGCCCGTTGTGCTTGTCGCCGTTGGCGAACTAGCTCGCAAACTTTGTTGTATTTGTTGAATAATCGCTTGTTGTTGCAATTGATTGGCTTGCGATTGAGCAGAAAGTTGTTGCATCGCTTGTAAAGGATCTCCTATTGCTTGTAACAAGTTTCCCGATGTAGTACCTATGAGAAATCCTGGTTAATGCGAATTACGATTTATTCGAAATATGAAAATAATTCAACGTAAGAACGATAAAAAAGGACTACTCACCCGAGCCGACGCTCGAGGTGCCGAAAGCATTGGTCCCGACAGTAGAATAAGTCAAGCCGCTTGTAGCATAGCTACTTTGAGCGCTCGAATAAGGAAGAACGGTTTGAGAAACGCTCGTAAGCGGCCCTAACGTTGAATGGAAGGATGCCGTCGAATATGGTGCCAACGTTGACAAGGTAGTTTGCGTGATATTCGACGGCGGAACCGAATAATTAAGGTGAGACAGTTGAGGGTTGAAAGAAGCTCCTGAACTGTATGTCCCATTGGGATGCGTCGACATTGATAAATTAGGATACGTCGTAGACTGTTAACAATCATGTAAAGAATTTCTCTTTTTTTTTCTGAACATTTCACATATTTTTCTCAAGATAAATCAATAACTTACCTGTTGAGAACCATGCTGACTGCCATTTAATTGATAACTTTGCGCAGTCTGAGTTGGCTGCGTATAATGAGGTATCACACTTTGATTCGACGCTGTCAGGTACGAAGTCGAGCTCGGATGTTGTTGCTGTTGAAGCGGTTGCTGATAAGTTTGCGTATGCGGATAACTCTCTTGATACTGATTACTTGTAAAGTGTGTGTGCGCTTGTTGCTTTTGTTGGGAGGGCAAAGTTCCCTGAGGATGAGAACTCGACAAATCCGTTTGTTGTTGTTGTTGATATTGCTGGAGCTTTTGTTGAAAAGCAGGTTGCGACTGACTAGTAGAGAGAGACGGTGCTGGAGGTATTGGTTCGCTATAATGATACGGTGGCCCGTTTGGCGTCAACGGCGGACAACCAGGCATCATTGGCGTCAATGGCATGGGCGATCCTGCATACTGCATTATGCGAATAAAACGTGTTACAAATTAAATTTAGAAATTATCTATTATTAATAAGAGAATCTAGTTGAGGCACAACCGGGACACATATAGAAAGTGTGTAATTAATAAATACAGTTACACTGAATGCGATTGGTCTGCGTACATGGCTCATTTGCGTGGGCATCCCCAGATTAAGAGCATGCGGATGAGGAGGGTGCTGATGTTGGCCCAAATTAGGAAGGTTCTCCGAACTGGATCGAAGAATACTTTGCGTGGCCGAAGGTTGCTGTGTAGTTATAGTTCCTCGAGCATGATCCAAGTCGTGTAACATTCTGCCGGCACTAATTTTATTTTTATTTTTATCATTAATCGTTTAATCATTGAACGAATAAACCAACGTAATAAGTATAAAAAGAAAAGAACGGTATAGATAGATCTACGTATACTATTATCGTGTACACGTAAAATTTGCTTTATGTACCTGCTACTGTCTTGTTCAATCTTTGCAATAATTCTATCAATTTCAGAGCCAGCCGGAGGCCAAGTGGATGTTGGTATTCCAGATGTAACATGACCAACACCTGGGCCACGAGTTCGAGCCCTTCTTAAACTCGTCAATTCCAGCGATAATTCCTCATGCTTGACCATCTGCAATTCAGTTTTTTTCTCCAATTCTCTGATTTTCGACTGCAGTGCTTCGACTGATTCTGGTCCTTGGTATCGACCTGCTATCTTTTCACGTAATTGATTCTGTGCTTCCCCGTATTGTCGTTCCAAATCTGTCCTCCGAGCTTCGGTTTCTCGCATTTGCTAAACAAAGTATATACCTATGTTTATATATATATATATATATATATATATATATATATATATATAAATATTTCAAAAAGATTTCTTTTTTCTTTTCATCTTCTAATAAATAGATTTCTATGTTCAAAATATCGATCGATGATAATTACTTTTAAATCGATATAAATTTACAAAGAAAAAATATAAAAAATATGTTTAATCGTGCATCATGCGTTGTGCTAACGATTCGACGTT